CAGATATACAAACAACATATATTATACAAGCAACATCTATTAAGAACAAAATATAAATATATATATATATAAAACTATATATATATAAAAGATATATAAAAGATCAAATTTACAGTTTAATAATGTGCAAATGTCTAAACATTTGATGTGTGGTGTAGTGCTTATAGAGAGCTGTACTGTAAAATGAAGAATATTAAAATGGTAGTTACTCTAAGGTTTTTCGGTTAGAAGCAATCACAAAATAAATATAAGGTTAATGCAATGTCTGCAAAATTATAATTCTCTTCTTATGCTTCTTTTTTCAGGGCGGTCTTTAATGCTGTCGCAGAGCTTGAGTACATCTGCCTGGTCAGCCCGAATGTCGGGGGTTTAGGTGAAAAACTGCTTTAAATTCATTGTTAAATTTATCAGTTGTCTAAACTTACTTTGTAGAGACTTGTGAGTCTTGTGATTGCTGTTTGTCCAGAGCCAGCGCTGGATGAGATGTTTGAGCCGCTGCAGCGCCTGACTGACCCCGGGCCTCAGTGCTTAGCATTAATCTGTCACAGACATGAGCACTACCCAAGGCTTCATATCCGCCCAGCCAGGTGATATCAGTTGATTCCTTCCCTACTAACATAGTATCGGCCTAGAAAACAATGTGTATATATGTTGCATATTCATATAGTGCATTTAAAAGAGTGTGGAGATCAAGGTGGTGTACATGGGTGTGTACATTTGTCTTCAATTTAAGATGTTATCAGCTGGATTGATGCCCTTTTTCTTAAAAGACAAACATATACTTTAACAATCAAATATTGCACTCACATTTTGAAGTAGACGTTGTGATATATTTGTCACGTACAGTGTAGATCTGTTGCACTGTAACTGGTTAAAGGTAAAGTTGCATTAATTGATTTTTTTGGTTACTTGGGGTCGGAAGAACTCCCTTACATGCTGTCAAACCAGAAGACATGGATTAAAATGATCATCCTATTGGAGTCCTGTGTGTGTCCACCTGATGAATGAAAATCCACTCTTCTTCTAGCTCTGGTTTAGTCGCCACCAACTCCTGAAGAACGTCTTGTAGCCCTGCTAAGTTGGTGATAATTATTAGTGGGTTAAGGGCTTGAGCCCTTTAATGCTACAGAGGAATCTGATTCATTGTAATATTAAAAAATGATTGGTGGAGTTAACGTGTAGGCTGCTCCTCTATTTGTACATTACAGGGTTGAAGATCATGATGACATCATGCGCATATATACAGAGCAGACAAAAATACTGTCCACACATCGGCCATACTTCCTGGCAGAGCTCATTGAGACACAGAATGAGGAAAATCCCACAGCTGTTTGTGAGGTTTGTTCCAGCTTTTAGCCTTCTCTCACATTCATTTTTGATCTTAACATTTTTGAAAAGTCATCAACAGAATGTATTAGATTGAGAAACCATTTACTGTAGCTCATCCCTCCTGGTTGTCTGACCCTATGTGAAGTATGTGATTTGTTCCCAGTCATTCCTGATCCACTGCTCCAGTCTGAACATAATGTAATAGCAGCTCACTGATGGTGCTTTGACTGATTGTCAGAGACCCTACTGGGGTTTGTTCCCTCTGGACTTGCGAGATGACAGATCTTCTCTCCCCTCCCCGCCACTCGGGCTGACATGTGTTCATGGCAGCATATGGCAGATACGAGCTGATACTTGGCCAAGACATGCTCTCACTGAACATATTGTGTCCAGACATCTGAAGCATTTTGGGCTTTTTGTCTGAATATGTTGAGCACTCAGAGAACAAACAGTCAAACATTACCCCAGAGGGTTGGGCTGAACGCCTTAAACTTTTTAGCTACAGAATGTGTCACTTTAATATTTTTTGTGTTATTTTTTTATCTGTGTAGACAATCTGTTACAGACGGATCGTGTCTACTGCTTAACAGGTCACAAGCTTTTCAGTTTCAAGCTCAAACTGTTTGTAATACTGAAAAAAAAAATTATATTATATAGAGGATGAAAAAAATATAAATCTCATCTCAAGGTCCCTGAAATAGCTGTTCTGGTGCTTTTGATAATATCACATTATCTTTATCAGCAGACAGAGTGCTCAGTTTAAGGCAACTTAGATAAAAAATCCTCAAAGTGCTCAGAAAAATCTGTAAATTTAAACATCTACAATTCCAGTTGTCCAATTGTGAGGAGAACAGCTTTTGGTCATTGAGTGGATGAGAGAGGTCTGTCAACTACTTTTTTCCAAGGTTGACTTTAAACCTTCTTTTTCTTGTCACACACCAGAAAGGTCAAGGTTCATCTCTGACTGTGCAGGAGAAAGATGTTTACAACAGAAAATGTTAAAACTAACATTATTGTTAAGGACTGTGTGTTGTTCTCCACAGAGTGACGGAGTCGCCGTTGGCTTCATCAGTGTCACGTCTGAGGTCGATTTGAAACGGTTGCAGGACAGCTTTGAGCTGAGTGAGTTTGATGGATTATACAAACATGTAAAACATGATGAGTCTGCTTCACAGTCAACAGAAGATGAAGAAACCCGGAGAACAACCCAAACTTCAGATTCACAGCAGGTATACTCACTAACTCACATTACAGGTGTTGGTCAGATACATAAAGACATAAACTTTCTGTCCGTTAG